CGGTAATAAACAATATGAAAATGCTTGTGCATTTTTCTGAGGACAACTCGACCACCCTACGCTAACGGCTAGGCGCCACTCACTTGTCGTAGCGCGGTTCTGCTCTCGAAGACCTGCCAACAACTGCGCCTGCTCGGTGACGGCATGGATAAGATATACCTATTTATAAATATAATACATGATGATGATATGTGTGATGCGAGTTGCGACCGATTTCAACCTGAGTTACCGACGATTCAGCTCGCCTGACAAACAGCTCTATCCTTTCTCTCCGCCTCTCAGCCAGGCTAGGCAGCGTTCCAATGACAGGCGTGTGCATCACAATTTGTCAATAATATAATATGTCAATAATATAAATAAATCAAATGCTGCCAGATTCAGAAAGGAAAAACTTCGCCGCATGAAGGTTTCATACACACCAGTAACTTTACAGTAAACTTTTTGCTTCGAAATAAAAGTAACGATTAACGGATTAACGGACTAAATTTTAACGATTAACGGAGCCGAAAAGTAACGGAACTAAAACGGTCCGTTACACGTGGAAAAAATTAGCGAGTCCGTTAATCGTTAACCCAAAATTTAGTTCCGTTAATTAACGGATTAACGATTTAACGGACTTGCCCACCTATGACCATTCACCTGGTTGCAGATCTAAGAAGCAACATCCAGAAAGGCCATTGAAAGAGCTATCAAATGTCAGGGGCGTCGACGCGTAAGGAAAACTGGTCCGACTTTTTCTCGGGGGGCCCCCACCGGTGGGGGCCCCCAGGTGTCGAGGCGCAGCAGGGCCCCCGCGGTCTCTAGCAGGGCCCCCCGAGCCGCAGTAGGGCCCCCGCGGTCTGCAGCAGGGGCCCCCGCGAGCCACAGCAGGGCACCGCCTAGTCGAAAAAGTGGTCCTACTAGTCGGAAAAGTCGGACCGGTGTCGACGCCCCTGTCAAATGTGTTTTTACGCGGTGACGCATCTCTGTTAGTTTCCGAGTTATGCGTGCCGTTGAGGTTTCAAAATTGTTGAAATATGCAAAATTTGATCTTTGATGACCTCTGACAGTCTGACTTTTGACATTACCTAAAACATTGGCAAAAATATTTTCGTCATTACCTATTTTTGACGCTCTTTCGAGTGCCGCTTACCGCGTGTCGCTACGTGGCCCAAGAACCGAGCTAGACAGGGGGCGTGAAAACGCTCCCCACCCCAGCAGGACATGGAAACTCATCAGTAGGCACAGTGTAGATCAAAAGTCCACCCGTGAGCTCGACAGCTTTATTCATGGTGTACGCTCATTCGAGTCGGCAGAAACTCGCAGCGCAGCTGGACCTCGTGTCACAAGCAGAACCCGGCACCCATCCAAAGAGACGGAATTCAAGTGAAGCTCGTGTCGGGTCGCGGCCGGCCGGCCGCGAACCATTTTCAGAAGTGGCGGGCAGACCGTGCGTCGAGTACTTGCTTTCTCGCGCGGCGGTACTGGGGTTCACTAGCATTGTTTAAAATATTTTCATTTGCCATGAACTTGAAATTAAACACTGTAATTAACGATCATTTGTCAATTATTGCAAGTTCTTCAAAATTCTTCTTTGAAAGCAAATGATTTCATTTCACTCAAGAATTGTCTTGTCCACCACTACAACCGCCACCCAGCCGCCATCCATTGGAAGAGATAGGCTCTGCGGCACAAAGTGTCGTTTTAAACTGGACTGGGAACCAATGTGTGATGACATTTCGAGCTAAATTAATGCTCATTGTGTACCTAGAAGCATTGGGAACAACGCTCTGACTGTACATTTTTAGATTTTTGCCTCTAAATGAAAATATTTACAATCAAGTAGGTACTTTGCGAGCGCAGTTTAGAAGCTCCCGTAATGTTAAAGTCCTATCTCATACAAGTATGTAAATACTGCTCTAGGGAACCAACAGTTCGCATCGTACTAGCTTTTAATTATATCCATATTGTTCCCAGTACTTTGCTTAACACTGTGGCGAGTGTACATTTTTCGTTTTTTGCTTTACAAGCTGGTTTCGTGATAATATAGTCTCGCGTTGTGTATATTTAGTCATTTACCTTAGTCATTGATCTTACCGTAGTAGGTCTCACAAATCTTAAATCAATCATGAATCATAAATGCAAATCTTAGCTTTATATTCTTCGGTTCTTTTTCACACTTAATTCACAACATTTCATTGCCAAGTTCCCCCATTTTCTCCTCATCTTCGACTTTCCTCATTTTTGGCTTAAGTCTTTTTTCTTGCGGAGGACGGCTCGCGCTATAGAGGCAAGAGCACCGCTAAATGCTCGTAAACATTCTCCCCCACCTTGACCTTCTGCACCATGAAGGTCAATATACACAATGAATAGGCACAGTTGCAAGTTCACTCGATCACACCGCATTGCAGTTCGATAGTGTCGACGCCACAGTATGTTTAAGCCGTCCGTTTCACGGGCAGCCTTACGCCGGGGCAGATTCTAGATGCACCAGCTTCACCACGGGTCTTGTGTAGACCTTCCCTTTGCATTGGACATCTACCACCCTCACATGTCCATCAGCTCCAGGGTGCACCTTGATCACTCTGGCCAGCGGCCACTGACCCCTGGTGACCGATGACTCTGCCATCAGTACCACGTCCCCTACTGCCAGGTCTTCATGGGACGTCCTCCACTTTGTACGAGCTTGTAGCGAAAGCACATATTCTCGTTGCCATCTTTTCCAAAACGCTGCGACCAACTGTTGAACCAGACGCCACCTCTTCAAGTGACCTCTCGCGCCCTCGAGCCCGGTATCCGCTTGCAGCTGAATATGTCCCACCAAGAAGTGTGCAGGAGTCAGAGGCGGCTGATCAGTCGGGTCGGCTGACAGCGGAGTCAGCGGACGCGAGTTCAGAAGAGCCTCAGCGCGACATAAGGCGGACTGTAGCTCTTCATCGGTGATGCTTGTGGTCCGCAGAGTGCTGTACATAGCACGTTTCACGGACTTGATGAGGGATTCATAAACTCCTCCAAAATGAGGCGCAGCGGGAGGATTGAAGTGCCAGCGGATACCTCTCGTGACTCCTTGCTTGTGGATTTTACGCCTGTCCAGAGCATCTGACGTTTTCTTCAGCTCTTTTTCGGCACTGACAAAGTTCCGGCCATTGTCACTCCAGATGTCCTCAGGAACACCCCTTCTTGAGGTGAATCTGTCCAAGGTGCACAAAAACGAGTCGGTGTCTAAACCATACGCCATTTCCAAATGCACTGCTCTAGTTTGAAAGCAGGTGAAAAGACAGATGTATCGCTTTGTCTTCACTCTTCCTCTTTCGTTTTTTGTTTCCACTGGCCCAGCGAAGTCTACACCGCAGTGGGAAAATGCTCTGTACGTCGGCTTCAGCTGCTCTTTTTTCATCGGGGCCATTATTTGCGCTCCAGTCTTCTCGCGCCTTCGTTTGCACTCAGGACACGTCCGAATGCATCTCTTGATTTCTTCTCTTGCGCTGACCAACCAAAATGTCTGCCTCAGCTCGGCCAGATTGTGTTCTACCCCGAGCTCGTGGTCGAACTTATCGTGGATATGTCGCACGATGAGCGCAGACACTGCATGCCTCTTCGGGAGAACGTAGGGATGTCTTGTGTTGTACGGTAGATCTGCATGGCCTATTCTGCCTCCCACTCGTATGAGACCATTTTCGTCTATGGCCGGGTTCAATCCCAGCCAGCCTTCCCAAATGGGGCCCATATGGGCCCCAAGTGGGCAGCAAACTGGGGCCCATCTGGGCTGCCCACTTGGGGCCCAGATGGGTTTGTCATGGGCGTCCAACTGGGTCCCATATGGGCAGCCCAGATGGGCCCCATATGGGGCCCAGCCGGGGCACATATGGGTCCCACATGGGCTTTCCCAGCCGGGACCCACATGGGTATAATTAAAAAATCCCACATGGGGCCCATGTGGGTTCGAAATTGGACCCATATGGGGCCCAGCCGGGGCACATATGGTCCCACATGGGCTTTCCCAGCCGGGACCCACATGGGTATAAGCGAAAAATCCCACATGGGGCCCATGTGGACTCGAAATGGGACCCATATGGGGCCCAGCCGGAGCACATATGGGTCCCACATGGGCTTTCCCAGCCGGGACCCACATTGGTATAAGCGAAAAATCCCACATGGGGCCCATGTGGGTTCGAAATGGGACCCATATTGGGCCCAGCCGGGGCACATATGGGTCCCACATGGGCTTTCCCAGCCGAGACCCACATGGGTATAAGCGAAAAATCCCACATGGGGCCCATGTGGGTTCGAAATGGGACCCATATGGGGCCCAGCCGGGGCACATATGGGTCCCACATGGGCTTTCCCAGCCGGGACCCACATGGGTATAAGCGAAAAATCCCACATGGGGCCCATGTAGGTTCAACATGGGACCCATATGGGGCCCAGCCGGGTCCCATATGGGTCCCATATGGGCTTTCCCAGCCGGGACCCACATGGGTATAAGCGAAAAATCCCACATGGAGCCCATGTGGGTTCGAAATGGGACCCAGCTGGGACCCATACCCAGCCAACATTATTACCTTGGCCCACATGGGGCCCAGGTGGGTTACTTGGTGGGACCCATGTGGGCAGCCCATGTGGGGCCCACATAAATTTGTCCCTGGGTAAATGGTGGGGCCCACCTGGGCTGGCCCACGTGGGCTCAAGGTGGGTACCATATGGGGCCCACCTGGGCTGGCCCACATGGGCTCAAGATGGGTACCATATGGGGCCCACCTTGGCTGGCCCACATGGGCTCAAGATGGGTGCCATATGGGGCCCACGTGGGCCAGCAGATGTGGGCCCTAGGTGGGCCCCATGCTGGCTCACACCTCCCTAGCATCGTTCGCATTAATTGATAAATATTCACCAAAGCCCATCTTAGTTCCCACCAGAACCTACAATTAATTTCAATATGATTATAATATAATCGATGTCTGCAATTTGAATCACTCCCGCTGATCATTGCTGAACGTTCGCCACCGCAACAAAACAAACTGTCAGTGATCAATATTTATATTAACGATAAACACAAAAATGCTGTTTAAACTCTCTTCTCTCTTCTGCTCATCTCTAGACTTCTTCTCTCATCTGCTCCTCCGCTTAAACTCCAGCTGGTCTCCTCTCCTGGCGGCCTCCGTCGCGGTTCCTGGCACCCGTAAACCACTTTCGTGGCGCCACCTCCAGCTGGCCGTTGTTGGTGTCCTGGGTAAGCCCGTTCCGCCGCACGGCTCCTGTAAAATAAGCACCAGCAATGTAAAATGTGCAGACACATAAGCGAATTGTTTATTGCCCCTGCTGTGTTCTACCATGATTCTGCTTTAAAAGTAACATTATCTGATTTGACTTGAATAGGTAATTGAGAAATGAACGTTAAATATTATTTTTTTTTTTGCAGGAAATAATCTGATGCAGAATAAACAAACAAGGTCCGATTATGATGGACACGAAGGACATTAGTGCTTTACAAGTCGGCTGCTTGGAATTCGCTAATCGGACAGTAATTGACGACACCTGAAATAGCATATGAATGGGAGTGCTGCTGTTATTCTGACATCCGCTATCAGGTGTCCAAGGGAGTTGGGCAATTAAATAAAGAGATAAAACCATTACTTACTGAACACGACATCAAAAAGCCGGGTACCGCCGAAAGCCCTTTTCCCGTGCCGTCCATTTACGCTTAGTCGCGTAGCGAGTGCGCTCGTCATGACGCCTGCCATCGTCCTTCGGACCGGTGTAAGCGGGGGCGCTTACACCGAGGTCGGCGACAAACAGCCACCCGGAGTATCTGTCCACTGCCACGAGGTACTTCCTGCCGGCGTGATCGGCAAAGTCGATGTGTAGTTCGAACGGCCTTTCCGCTGGCGGTCTCCTCATCATGGTCTCTTGCTGCTGAGCGGGTAGAAGATCTCTCTGGCAGATGGTACAGCAGCGGGTGACATTTTCCACATCCCGGTAGATCCCGGGCCAGTAGACGATCTGTCTCGCGCGGGCCTTCGTATTCTCCTTCCCCAGGTGGCTGGCGTGGAGGGCTTCTAGAACAGTCCTTCGTAATCGCTGTGGTATGACGAGCCTGCAGCCGATCCGGCCCGACCGACTGGACATCTCCACCGACCGCAGTGACGCCTTCTACCTCTGGAAGGAGAGATGGGACGACTACGTCCTGATGTCACAGCTGCGACTCGACCAACTAGCGATACAGCTGGCGTCGCTGCGGGCGCGCCTCTCCGACGAGACTCGAACGCGGTCGTGGTTGCGGCGCGGCCGCCACGGCTACGCATTCCTGCTTCCTTTCACTTTCGTTCATCGCACTTTGTACTCACTATGGGCGGGTTCGAGCTAATACCGACCGCGCCATGTGTCGGTTCCGCCCGAATTAAGGCTTTATTGGACACGCACACCACTCAGAGTCTGAACGCCAACTCGCCCGCCCAGACGCCGCAGCCCCGACAGCCGACCGGCCGGTCGGCCAGTCACCGCCCCGGGCGATGCAGAGGCGGCCCCAGGCCCCGTCCGGTGGGCCGAGCTCCGCCGGCGGGTCGCCCGCGCAGGGGCGGGCTCAGGCGACACAATCATACGACACAATCACAACATTGACTATCCAATATCAGCCGTAGCTGTTCTCACAAACATCAACTATGCGACTTCCTCACGACGTCGAAGTGCATTTTGGAGGCATGACACTAAACAGCGAGTTCTTGTTTCTTGTAATATCATACACATTGGACAGTGAAAAAATAAATAATGGGCTGCCCACATCCAGCCCACCTACACCCCACTACATGGGCTGCCCACGCAGTGCCCATGTTAAGCCCACCATACAGGAACACCGCGTGAATGCCTGTGTTCACCAAAATTCCTGGATATGCCCTCGTACATGGTGCAAGCAATCTTATTATCAAGCATTATGCCTGCCAAAAAATATGTGGGCAGCCCATGTAGGGCCCACATGCAGCCCACATATTTGCCCATCTCTAGCCCATGGCCCACCTAGCCCACCATGCCAATCAACTGCCCATGTGGGGCCCACATGGGCATGCTGGCTGGGCGTTTGCCCATTTGGGCCCCATGTGGGTCCCGGATGGGTGTGCCCAGCTTGTTGGTGCCCAGTCTGCCAACATGCTGCCCGCATCCAGCCCAGATAGGTGTCGGGTCAGTTAACAAAGTTTTGTAGTAAAGTTTGCCCATTTGGGCCCCATGTGGGCCCCGGATGGGTGTGCCCAGCTTGTTGGTGCCCAGTCTGCCCACATGCTGCCCGCATCCAGCCCAGATAGGTGTCGGGTCAGTTAACAAAGTTTTGTAGTAAATTTTGCCCATGTGGGCGGCTGGGCCCCATGTGGGCCCCGGCTGGGTGTGCCCAGCTTGTTGGTGTCCAGTTTGCCCACATGCTGCCCGCATCCAGCCCAGATAGGTGTCGGGTCAGTTACCAAAATTTTGTAGTAAAGGAAATGTTCGTATCCCAGCAAACATGCCCACATGGTTCCCATATGGGGCACACATGGGCCCCCCATCTCTTACATATGGGCCCCACATGGGAATGGCAGTGGGTGACACGTGGGATCCATATGGGCCAGCCCACGTAGGCCCCATATGAGACCCACGCGGCGCCCACATGGGACCCATATGGGCCAGCCTACATTGACCCCATATGGCATCATGTATGAACTTGATATACTTGGAGTCCAAAATTCACATGAACAACAGCCACCTTTTTTGCTTTTATGCTCTTGGAGTAACTTAAATGGGGCCCACATGGGTGATCCATATGGGACCCACATGGGATGCCCATCTCCAGCCCACATGCGTTTGGCCCACTTAGCCCATTTTTATCCCATATGGGGCCCATATGGGTAGCCCATCTGTAGCCCATGTCCAACGTGGGCCCATCTGGCCCATGTTCACCCCATATGGGACCCACATGGGATGCCCATCTCCAGCCCACATGGGTTTGGCCCACCTGGCCCATTTTTATCCCATATGGGGCCCATATCTGTAGCCCATGTCCCACGTGGGCCCATCTGGGACCCACATGGGATGCCCATCTCCAGTCCACATGCGTTTGGCCCACCTGGCCCATTTATGGGCCCATCTGGCCCATGTTCACCCCATATGGGACCCACATGGGATGCCCATCTCCAGCCCACATGCGTTTGGCCCACCTGGCCCATTTTTATCCCATATGGGGCCCATATGGGTAGCCCATCTGTAGCCCATGTCCAACGTGGGCCCATCTGGCCCATGTTCACCCCATATGGGACCCACATGGGATGCCCATCTCCAGCCCACATGCGTGTGGCCCACCAGGCCCATTTTTATCCCATATGGGGCCCATATGGGTAGCCCATCTGTAGCCCATGTCCCACGTGGGCCCATCTGGCCCATGTTCACCCTATATGGGACCCACATGGGATGCCCATCTTCAGCCCACATGCGTTTGGCCCACCTGGCCCATTTTTATCCCATATGGGGCCCATATGGGTAGCCCATCTGTAGCCCATGTCCCACGTGAGCCCATCTGGCCCATGTTCACCCCATATGGGACCCACATGGGATGCCCATCTCCAGCCCACATGCGTTTGGCCCACCTGGCCCATTTTTATCCCATATGGGGCCCATATGGGTAGCCCATCTGTAGCCCATGTCCAACGTGGGCCCATCTGGCCCATGTTCACCCCATATGGGACCCACATGGGATGCCAATCTTCAGCCAACATGCGTGTGGCCCACCTGGCCCATTTTTATCCCATATGGGGCCCATATGGGTAGCCCATCTGTAGCCCATGTCCCACGTGAGCCCATCTGGCCCATGTTCACCCCATATGGCACCAACATGGGATGCCCATCTCCAGCCCACATGCGTTTGGCCCACCTGGCCCATTTTTATCCCATATGGGACCCATATGGGTAGCCCATCTGTAGCCCATGTCCCACGTGGGCCCATCTGGCCCATGTTCACCCCATATGGGACCCACATGGAACGCCCATCTCCAGCCCACATGCGTCTGGCCCACCTGGCCCATTTTTATCCCTTATGGGGCCCATATGGGTAGCCCATCTGTAGCCCATGTCCCACGTGGGCCCATCTGGGACCCACATGGCATGCCCTTCTCCAGCCCACATGCGTTTGGCCCACCTGGCCCATTTATGGGCCCATCTGGCCCATGTTCACCCCATATGGGACCCACATGGGATGCCCATCTCCAGCCCACATGCGTTTGGCCCACCTGGCCCATTTTTATCCCATATGGGGCCCATATGGGTAGCCCATCTGTAGCCCATGTCCAACGTGGGCCCATCTGGCCCATGTTCACCCCATATGGGACCCACATGGGATGCCCATCTCCAGCCCACATGCGTGTGACCCACCAGGCCCATTTTTATCCCATATGGGGCCCATATGGGTAGCCCATCTGTAGCCCATGTCCCACGTGGGCCCATCTGGCCCATGTTCACCCTATATGGGACCCACATGGGATGCCCATCTTCAGCCCACATGCGTTTGGCCCACCTGGCCCATTTTTATCCCATATGGGGCCCATATGGGTAGCCCATCTGTAGCCCATGTCCCACGTGAGCCCATCTGGCCCATGTTCACCCCATATGGGACCCACATGGGATGCCCATCTCCAGCCCACATGCGTTTGGCCCACCTGGCCCATTTTTATCCCATATGGGGCCCATATGGGTAGCCCATCTGTAGCCCATGTCCCACGTAGGCCCATCTGGCCCATGTTCACCCCATATGGGACCCACATGGGATGCACATCTCCAGCCCACATGCGTTTGGCCCACCTGGCCCATTTTTATCCCATATGGGGCCCATATGGGTAGCCCATCTGTAGCCCATGTCCCACGTGGGCCCATCTGGCCCATGTTCACCCCATATGGGACCCACATGGGATGCCCATCTCCAGCCCACATGCGTTTGGCCCACCTGGCCCATTTTTATCCCATATGGGGCCCATATGGGTAGCCCATCTGTAGCCCATGTCCCACGTGGGCCCATCTGGCCTATGTTCACCCCATATGGGACCCATGTGGGCATGTTTGCTGGGGTTCAGCCCATATGGGACCCAGATTTAGCCCAGATAATAGCCCACATGTAGCCCATGCCCACTTAAGCCCAGATGCCCCACTTTCAGCCCATATGGGCCCCATTTGGGAAGGCTGGCTGGGAATCTTTGTAGGCGGCTTTCTTTTCCTCTTCCATCTCGCCGCTTCTTAGCGCGCCCTTGCGTGGTTTCTTCGTTCCTGTGGATTTCGAGCCAGCGACGTTCATCCTCGAAAGCATCTGTCTGTGCTAAACGCACCCAAAATACTTCAGCTGCGGTCACTTCTTCAACAGTCAGCTCGAACGTGCTGGAAAGACTGCTTTGTCCTCCACGTTTTCTGTTGTTCTTCTTCGGCCTGCACTGTTTTTCTGCTTCGAACTTGTGCCGATCCTTTCCTTTTTTCACCCTTTCTCTTAGATTTTGAATGAATCTTTGGATCCATGCTGTCACTCTGACCAGTCTTGTCCAGCTGGAATATCGTTCTGGGCGCAATCGATCCAGCGAGCCTGGTATTGAGCTGCTTGAGGCGAGTGTCTTTTGCTGCTGACGCTCAGAACAGAACTCAGAACTATCGAAGTCCATTCTCGCGAGGACTGGCTGGGGCGGCCAGTCTCCAGTGATAAGGAAGGCCGGGCCCTCCCACCACACTGCTTCGGACATCAGCACGTCCGCTGTGCACCCTCTGGATGCCAGGTCAGCAGGATTGGATGCTCCAGGCACGTGTCGCCACTGGGACGCATCCGTGTCGCTCCGGATCTCAGCAATACGGTTCGCCACGAAAGTCTTAAATCTTCTGGTTTCGTTGCTTATCCAGCACAGGACGTCCGTTGAGTCGGTCCAAAAGGTGACGTTCTTCAGAGGTATCTCCAGAGCTTTACATGTCTTTTTAGCCAGCCGAAGGCCCATAACCGCGCCAATCAGCTCAAGTCGAGGAATGGTTTGCGTTTTCTTCCGCGGAGCTACCCTTGCTTTTGCCATGACAAGTCTGGAAATAATCTGGTTCTTCGTCGTCGTGACCATGTAACACACAGCTCCATAGGCTTTCTCTGAAGCATCCGTGAAGACGTGAAGTCGACTTTCTTTCACCGGACTACCGGGTCCAGCGTCGTGCAAACATCTTGGCATGCACGCCAGACTGAGGTGCATGAGGTTTTTACACCAGTTCATCCACTGACGCCGCATTGTACCGGTGATCTCTTCATCCCACGTCAGCTTCAGATCCCATGTTGACTGAAAAAGAATCTTTGCGACTATGACAAATGGCACCAAAAATCCGAGGGGATCGAAAACTGAGGCGAGCTTCTTCAGACATGATCGTTTGGAGCACATCTGGTTCGGTTGTGTATCGTCCGCTACACTGACGGAGAACACATCTGACTCAGCATTCCACACAACACCCAGCGTCTTGACGCTAGGTAGCTCGTCCTGTTGGAGGTGTACGTGGGCACCAGGTGCTCTCTGGTCCTCTGGGATGGCTTTGAGTACGGACTTACTATTTGTCAGCCACTTTCTCATCGTCATTCCGGCACCTTGCATGAGTTCATTGAGTTCGCGCTGCGCTTCCAAAGCGATATCTTCGTCTGTGAATGACGCCAATGCATCATCCATATATACGTTGTCCAAGATCACTCGGGAGGCGATCGGGTACTGTTCTTCATTTTTCTTCGCGTGCTCTCTCATGACGTACTGGGTGCAGAACGGGGCCGCCGCGTTCCCGAACAGCCAGCGTTGTGCTTCGAAGATGTCTGGATGCCGGCTGACGTCGAAGTTTCTCCACAGGACGCGGTGGTACTGACGATCTTCGGGCGGGAGCTCTACTTGCAGAAACATTTCAGCTACGTCTCCTACAAGAGCCACCGAATGTTGCCTGAAGCGTAGCAGGATCTCTGTGAGGTCCGTGTACAGAGAGGGTCCTGGATATATCTCTGAGTTCAGACTTTTCCCCTGGTTCGTCGCAGCCGCGTCATAGACGATACGGAGTTTCGTGGTTGATTTATCTTCTCTCACTACTGGAAAGTGAGGCAGAAACCAACCGCCGCCGCCGCCAGCC